TTGCGAAGCCTTTAGGTGCATAAATACGAAAAGGAGCTTATGAAAGAGATTACATATTTTTTGTATTAGGGGGTGCTTTCTCACCGTTTATTGGATAACTAGCCCACTCCTCGCCATTCAGCTTCGTCCCAACTGCTGTACTCTACTCTATTCCAAAAAACGATTGTGTCAAAGATACAATGAGACTCGGATAATATACTATGCCAAATAAATGTAGAAGGTGTGATACAAACAGGAGAAGTAGCACAGGGTAGGGTAATGTACATCAATGCAAGATGAAGCAGAAGCGAACACAGGTTGATAACCTACATATCATAGATAGTAGTCCTAGTCTATGGTGTCTTTCTTGGCTCCTCGCACCACTGTACCCCGTTATATTGTACGCTTCCAATCCTTGATCTTTGAAAGGAAACCGTGAAGCAACATGAACGAATTCTTAAAAGGTTAGAGTAGGGTAAGGAAGACTAAAGGAGTTATGAACGTAGAGGAACGTAGCGTAGAATGCCGCAGTAGAAATGCTGCATACTCATGTTTGAGTTGTATGGTTTGAGTAGTCCGCAGAACTCAAAACAAAATCCCTGACCTTACTCAGTTTCCTGGTATTAAAAGCAGTCTACAGATTTAGATCCCCCTTACTTGTGCCTTGGGGGTAACATGTTTCATGTTATAAAGGAATTGCTGCTATAAAATGAGTAGGTGTGATTCAGCAAGGGTTTTTCTCTATAGAATAAAAAACACTGTGTTTTATAAAGTGTCTTAGTCGACATTATACGTTGCTGCCAGAATGTAGGTAACCACTGTGTTTTTTACAAAATGAGAGATGGATTGAGCTGATTCCTTTTTCTGCAAATGTCACAAAGGGTTGTAGAATCTGCTGCGCTATTCAAACTCACCTCACAGTCTTAAAAGCGTTCAGCAGGTAGCCCCAGAATTCTGTTCAAAAACGATACTCCGCCAGCAGCCTCAAACAAACACCAAAAGTTGACACACAAAAGGACAAATATATCTACAGGATTCTACAGGTCAAGCACCGCGCCCTGATGTTTATAAAGTGAGTTTGGCCTTGATCCAAGAAGGTTGCTTTGCCTCCCTCCTTTAAAGACCTGCGTTTCTATAAAATGACCTTTCTCATCTTGTCCCAAACCCTGATTCATGCACTCCAGATAGTTACCACATTTAGTGTTTATAGAATGACCTGAGTTAGGGCATTCTATAAGGGAAACAAATGTTTATGTTATAAGCAAGCAAGTGTGGGGATATATTTAGGTTTTTTGTTTTGCAGAAGGCTAAAAAACAAAAGCATGAATGTTCCTAAATATCCAGCTGCTATACTGAATTTTGAAAGTACAAATAAACAAAATCAAAATGTGTTTTAAGCTTTATAGGTGAATTAAAAAAATAAACCAAAAAAAGAAAAGAAAACGCTAAGTCCTTCAGGTTCCTAGGTTTTCATGTATGTAGAGATTCTAAAACAACTAATAAATATTTTCTGTTTTAGATGTGCGGCCTACTCAGAAAGAACACTAAAAAAAACTAAGTATCTAGGCCCCTCTTAGTTTTGCGGCCTGTTTAAAGAAAAAAACAAAAAAAATGGTTAGTTTGTCTAATTATAAACATAGATGGAGGTGCCTCGTACATATATATATATATACAGTATACACTTCTTTAAATATATATTATATGCTACCCGCCTCCTCAGCAGAAGATGGAGATGGCACGTACAGTTGAAGCATCAAATGACATGACGTGCAGTCGACCTTGCGCGCAGTGGTCAAATACCATCAAATTCACTGAAGGGTGGGTCCGGGAGAGTACCATTTTGGTCGCGCTGAGACTTGTGTTAGACAATCCTCACAAAGTCCACCGTCATAGAGGTCTTCAGGTGTCTGGGTGGAAAACCCCAGACCGGGACACCGGTTTCTGTCTCTGGACGCGGTGGTTTCGGCGTTCTCGGTTTCGGCCTGGTGGACGAAGCTTCAAAGCCAAAGGGTGATTTTCGAGGTCCAGAGTGATGGATGTTGGTCCTCACATCGAGGATTTGGAGCACGGTTTCTCCGTGCGACGAACGGAGAGAACGAAATCGATCAAAACGACCGTACCAGGAGTCACAAGACGGGGTGCCGAACTTGGAGGATAGGTGCCCAGAACATCCACTCACTGGATGGGACAAATGATGGGACTAAAGACCATTCAATTGGAACTGCTGGTAGTAGTTCTTTCTTACAAAGTCTTCAATCGTTCTTTGCCTTGACCAGGTTGACCTGAAGTTACTTCAGGTCTGTCGGTGTCAAACTGTTTGGCACTGAGGCTGCGCTCTCCAAAACCCCCAGGGAGTCCCGCCAGAACTGGCAGAAGTGTAAGGGGAACATCTAGAGGAAACCCATAGATTTGGGAATGAAAACAATGGGATTCCGGTGAGACCAAGCAAGTCATCGATGAACTCACCATGACGCGTAAAAGAGTTCATTGTAAAGGTGGCAAATTCAGTCGTTGCGCCATGAACATGGCGTTTTTTTCGGCGAGTCCGAGGGCAAACAAGGGATATGGATGGTCAAACGTTCTTCAGGCCTAGGGCATTGAACTTTCAGACCATTGATCTACTTTCGGAACCGACCCGTCTTCCGACTCGCTGCCCTGAGCCGCTCGGGGGCCCCAGCGGACTGGCGCTTTGGGGCCTGGCACTTCCGTTGGTGACGGGTTGAAAAGTGGAAGTGCCGAAATCGGGCGACTTTCGCATGCCAGAGCCCTTTCAGCCATCCGGAAGAACATCGGGTGTCGACATGGAAAACCGTCGGTGTAGATCTCTGCAGAAGTCTCTGCAGGTTTGGGCAGCAGAAACCTGTTGCATGAAGGTGCCGACGGCTCTGCTTCGACCGATGTCTACACTGTTTGGTTGCCTGTCTGCACAGGCACTGTGTCAAAAACTGTCATGGTGGCTTCGCATGTTCAAAAGTCTCAAAAACCTTCGTGATTTTGTGACGCTTTGCATGAGTTGTCAACAAATATCTTCACCTAGCACTGTGTCCAACCAAACAGAAACTACCCCCTGCTCTAACACCTGCCTTTCCTCTGCGAATCGTTCACCTTTCCTTGGGGATCCCCACCGATGCTTCTATGCGCTGCTCCTGTCTCTTCTTGGCCACATGCTGGCGCTTGGCCCGGCGAAGGGCCTCTGCGGAGTCGCACGAATGGCAGAACTCGCAGCTCGAGCCCTTGTGACATCCATCCTCCTGCGGGCGGCGGACACGGCATCGGACCCGCGTGGGGTCGAAGGCGAGACGCGAAGGGTTTCATATGCCCTTTAGTTCATCGTCCTTTGTCCAGTGTTGGAGGTATTTGTTTGTTCAGTCCATACTGTTTGCAAACAATTGTTACTACTAGCTTCTTGCTCCTAGTAGTAAGGCACTTGTTACTACTAGCGTGGCACTTGTTACGGCCACCAGGTTCTGTGGGGTGGTTTTGGGGTGCGGTGTATAGTATAGGTCAGTCACGGGCAGTAGGTGAAGTCGGCCACCAGGATGCACCATGCTCGACCAAAAGGACAACACCAGCTGATGCCCCAGTTCGGGTGCTTTTGTTTGACCTTCCACGCGACGTTGTATTGTTCTTGTGTGATCATTGTATGCTCCATCCAAGCTGAGCCAACCTAATAGCGACGGTCTCCAACCTAGTAGCTTTTTGTTACTAGTAGCGATGGCCTCCAACCTACTAGCAATGGCCTCCAACCTAATAGCTTCTTGTTACTAGTAACCTAATAGCGATGGCCTCCAACCTAGTAGCTTCTTGTTACTAGTA